TTGACGTATTCTTACAGTTTTTAGCATGCCTCATGCAGAATTGATGATAAAAATATGATCATTACATTCATGATGACTGGTAGCACCTTTAGGTAGGCTGAGCATGGACAGGAGAAAGTGCAGAAAGTGACACTTTTCTAACCGCTACTTCTTTCACGAGGAAGCGTAGGAAAGGTCCAGTAACCACTCCAGCTTCTCTTTGGTGAAGACAAGTCAACCTTCCCCCAGCAATTCAGCTTTACCTCTAGGACTGCACAACAGCAACTCAGCAAATTTGGCTGGCTGGACAGTTAGAGTGAGCCTGGTGCCTCAGAGCTCTTCCTGGTCCTGCTTACAACTGGGGCTAACTGTACTCCAGTGTATTTATCTTACCCCATGGCCAGGCCAGAGAGCTCACAATGTATATCATTAACGTCTGTACAGCTCCATGAGGTAATGGGGACGGTGAGAACTGCTTCTTGATGTCTCAGTAGCACACTTGTTGGAGGCTTTTTGTTATTGATAGCTGAACAGGTACATTCTGCTCATGATGAAAAGTGAGCATTTCAGGCCAGTAAAAAAACCCCTATGAAGCTACGTCTTTCAAAACAGCAGGAGACATCCCAGCCAGAGACTTACACATTTCCACTGTCCTACTGATAAACTGGAAAATGGTATGTGATACAAGACTAGCACAAGCCTGCCTGTTCTTGACAGAATCAGTTAATCCACCTGGCCTTTCAGGCATTGACAGCATCATAAAAAGAAAATCAGTTACCCGAGATAATCAAATCCACTGTCTTCATCTCAGCTTTCCCATTAATTTAATCTAATTCTTGAGTATTGACATTATTCCGGGCATAATGGAAACATAAGCACTTCATTAAAGCCAGCACCTGGACGTATTCAATAGTGTAGCAAGAGCTAACAAACCTATGACAAATGCAGCCTTGCTATTATGAATCAACTGACAAGTGATACAGCCAAAAATATGTGCTTCTCAAAACAACCTTTAAAGAAACGGTGGTTTCAGACGAAGGTGCCTTGCTCCCGGGAAGGTTTCACCCTGGAGCGCTTTGTCACTACATGGGAAGAGTAAGGTTAGCATAGTGCCTGAAAGTCATGATCCGAGCTGAAGATGTTGAGGTGCAAGATGCATCCTGGCTGCCTGTAACAGCATCTTTCAAGGTAACAGAGCCATAGTGCTCCAGACTGAGAGGTGGGGTAGGAGGCCCCAGTTTCGGTAAGAACATGCTTTGATTGCAGCACGTGAGTAATCCTACAAGAGGTCAGATGAACATTAAAATAACCCATTAAGCCTCACTGACTTCAGTGAAAAAAGCAGCAGGTAGTGAAATAAGAAGTTCACTTGACAAGTAAAGGCTTATCAAGAGGAGAAAAATTTCAACCCAAGATGGGTCTAAAACAAAATGAAGACATCCAACACTTAATAAAAATGATTGTGTTTTATATAAGTGTGGCTCTTGCTACAGGTAGCATTCAAAGAATTCGTTGTGTGACTGGGCAACAAGATACAAAAAGGGAAGATATGAGCTCTCAAATTCGAGCCATTTTATATTTTCATTGTTTTCCGCTCTGATAATCTGGAACGGTTGCAGAGTATGTAGCCCTCAGGCCACTGAGTATTATTATAATAATTTAAAATGCAACTATTCATGCAGTCTGTAGTAGGTATAAGAATGTAGACTTTCATGGACAAGCATTTCTATTTGAGAGTAGATCTTAGCAGGCATTAGAACACTAATTGACTCATCCTCTGCTTCCCATATAATTTATCGTAATCAAAAAACTTTTTTCCTCCCCTAAAGAATTCTAAAGATGGAGCACATTTTATGGTGTTATTTTCATCCATTACATTCACTGGGACACTGAATAATGAAATAGAGTTGTTCATGGTAATTTCAAATCCATACTCTCCAATTAGCAGATTTTGAAAGTCCTCAACACTGATTTTTCCTGTTACCTCATTAAAATGGGAAGATTTAAATCAAATCTATTGATCAGTGGGTGTTTTCTCACTTTTTGCTTTGCATTTAGCTTAGATACAAAATTGTATTATTTGGTCTCATTTTCAGGTCCTCACTCAATACTGCATTTATTCAGAACTCATTTGGTCAGTATTCCAAGCATTTGCACTTACATTTATATGTCCAAAATGATATCCATTAAATGTCAATGTAATCAAATTAAAAATGGGGACATTTTGGTTTATGATACACCACATTGCCAAGTATTTTATGTATCAATCGATACTTAAGTGATAATGCTAACATTGGCTTATTTATAAGGGTTATGTGTTATTGGGCAAGGAGTTCAAGCACCTAAAAATCTCACAGCCAGCCTGCTGATCAGAATTTAACATACTTCAGGAATCCCTGGGATACCAGAAGTTCACTATGTTTTCTATTATTCTTGGCATTACAGCTGTTGAAAGTCATTACAGATTACAACGCTATTTAATCAGTGCTGCCGATGTTACAACAACCCTCTGTGGTTACAAATTGTAAGGAAAATCTACTAAAAAACCAACTTACCCAACATGGGCTCCAGTGCAGATGCAGAGGGCTAAATGCACAGAGGCGTTAAATGATTTCTTACCGCGGGCATCCAGATTTTGTGTGTTTGAGGAGTCTTTTCTGCAAGTTGTTCTCTGAAACAATTTCATTACTCTTTACCAGCCTGTGGATGGAGTCAGCTGATTTTCCCAGTTGATGAATGGCTCTATTCAAAGGCTTAAGCTTTGGGTTAATAATTGAGCCGTCCCCTTCTGGGGCTAGCTCAAGGGCAAGTGGCAGGTTCGGTGCCTCAAAGGCCCCACTGCTGCAGGGAGTGCAAAGGGTACAAGGGTTTGGCAGGAGCTGGCCCTCAGGGGGACAGGTCTGCTTCTGTGCATGGGCACACACTCAATTAGCCAGTTGCTGATAAACTACTACAGCCCTTACTGGGGGTGCAATAGCCCCAACAGAAAATAAAGTGAGAACCATAGGCACTCTGAAGGACCAGTATAAGCTTTAGAAGAAGAAACCAGCATAAGCTTTAGTTTTATATTAACAGGTTTGACTGGCAGCCTTAATATTTCAGGCCATGGTAATTAATTTTTAGCACTGTCATTTACTTGCTTGTCTCCACACTCTGCCCATGGCCCAGGTGCTGTTTCAGGTGATCTGGAGTCCCAGCGACTGCCACTGCTCAGGGCTCTTGTATGGAGAGAAGGATGTACGCTGCCCAACACTTTCAAAAGCATCTCAACTGTCTTAAAGCCTTGAAATTCAGACAGGTGCTGAATTCCCACTTTAAGATATTATTTTTCAGAGTTCTCCATTTGAGCACTGTGAACTGAAACAAGCAGCAGCACATCAAGGCTTTGAGTTTTCAGACAAAGTATTTTCATTCTATTTAAATTATGACTTGCAATCAGTGGGAACTTGAAATAGGTTTTAAGAAGTAGGTAGAAAGAGATCCCTAGAAATTTAAGGATTTCTGATAGCGTCCATTAGATATAACCTGTGCTTGGAGTACTATTGGGAGTAATAAGTAAACATCAGCATTGCTTCTATGCCAGTTAGTAATAGAATTGTCTTTAAAGCTGTTTTCTCAGTTCTAATGCTATGAAATGCTACGTGAGACCAAACTTGCCGATTCTGCCACTTGCAGCTGTTCTGCAATAGAAACAATCAGGGATTTTTTCCCCACTGGGTTTCAAGCTTCTTTCTGCTTGACTGATGAATGAAAGATAAACACTATACACGTTACACAGTTAGACGGACTGTTCAAATGAGATATCGGGGGGGAAGTACCCCAGAGCAGGCACACTGAGCACGTATTCTTGACTTATAATTGGATCAACATTCAGCATTTGCAGGGAATACGGGATTCTACATTTCTCTAATTTCTCCTGCCCACAGATGCAGTAACAAATAAGAGCTTTAGGCAATAACAGTAGCAGAAAGGCACACAACAGTAGGGGAATGTGCTCCATTTTTTGTCATGGAGAAATGTGTTTTTCCTCTCCTGTTCTGGGCCTCAGACCCTCCCACGTTCCATAACTTGGGGTGAGCTTCCAGTCACAGCAGGCACGTGGTGTTAAAATAGCCTCTTGTAACAACATGTTAGTAACTAATTTAAAGACAGAAATTAATTTAAAGGTAGAATTTAATTTAAAGTTAAGAAAAAGGACAAGGGGTAACGGTTTTAAACTAAAAGAGGGTAGATTTAAACTAGATATAAGGAAGAAATTTTTTACATTGAGGGTGGTGAAGCACTGGCACAGGTTGCCCAGAGAGGTGGTGGATGCCCCATCCCTGGAAACGTTCAAGGTCAGGTTGGACGGGGCTCTGAGCAACCTGATCTAGTTGAAGATGTCCCTGCTCATTGCAGAGGGGGTTGGACCTTTAAAGGTCCCTTCCAACTGAAACGATTCGATGAAAAAGCAAACAACGCATGCTTACTTCTGACATGAACTGAGACCAGCATGTGCTAGGAAGCAAAATCTGAGAGTACTTGCTGCTAGAAGATACAGGATTGGGACCTCTCAAGCCTTTGCCTTCCTCAACAGTTGTCAACTCTTTCATCCCAAAAAGCAGCACTAATAGTTGAAACCGAAGTCATCAAAATCATCATCTTTCTCCTCCTCCACAGCTTGGACCAGTAATACCGTATTTTAGTACTGGTGACAGTGACCCTGTCAGGAAGGCTTTTTTTTTCCCCCCTCCCTTTTCCTCATATCCTAGCTACAGGCAATGATTTCTGATAGCAGATCTTAAACTCTGTCAGAAGCTGCTTCCTCTAACACGGCCTGGGTTGGGAATCACATTCCCTAAGTGGTTTCCTTCATCTTGTGTTGTGGGGAATGGCGTTTCCCCAGAGAAAGCGGTACTTTCATCTATCTGCAAGCTGCAGACAGCTCCTGAAGTGAGAGGTCAGACAGGAAAGTAACATCTGCAAAACTAACATTTTTCTTCCAGTCACTTCTAGAAAGACTTGAACGGTGTTACCTAAAGAGGCCCAGAACATTTCCACATCAAACAGAGAACAAGGGTGGATGTTTCTACTCAGGGTAGCTGGGATGCGACAATTGCAAGAAGGAAAACAAGGCAACAAGCAGGAAGTTTTATGCAAGCTCTGTTACAGAGGCACGGCAAAAAAAGAAGCAGTGGGAAGTGCTGCCACTGAGTTTTGTCTGGCAGGGATCCCTCACCACTTCTCTCTCCAGCATCGTTTCCCCCAAACACACTAGACACTGAAGAGGGGTGTAAGTGAGAGTAAGCAAAGGAGGAGTGGCAGGGAAAGGACAACGCTGCTTAGAGGCACCTATGGGGGCTTCAGCTAGCAGTAGCGGAGGGGGCCTTCTCCCACCGCCGCCCACTCCTGGCCGTGGGCGGGCTCGAACCCGCGGTTCGGCGGCGCGGCGCCCCCGCAGTCCTCGGCCGGCTGCGAGGCTGCACGGA